TATCATTATCCCTCTATAACCTATTATGGTTTTTACCAAACAATTGTTTTCGGGAATATCATTATCCCTCTCTAACCTATTATGGTTTTTACCAAACAATTGTTTTCGGGAATATCATTATCCCTCTATAACCTATTATGGTTTTTACCAAACAATTGTTTTCGGGAATATCATTATCCCTCTATAACCTATTATGGTTTTTACCAAACAATTGTTTTCGGGAATATCATTATCCCTCTATAACCTATTATGGTTTTTACCAAACAATTGTTTTCGGGAATATCATTATCCCTCTATAACCTATTATGGTTTTTACCAAACAATTGTTTTCGGGAATATCATTATCCCTCTATAACCTATTATGGTTTTTACCAAACAATTGTTTTCGGGAATATCATTATCCCTCTATAACCTATTATGGTTTTTACCAAACAATTGTTTTCGGGAATATCATTATCCCTCTATAACCTATTATGGTTTTTACCAAACAATTGTTTTCGGGAATATCATTATCCCTCTATAACCTATTATGGTTTTTACCAAACAATTGTTTTCGGGAATATCATTATCCCTCTATAACCTATTATGGTTTTTACCAAACAATTGTTTTCGGGAATATCATTATCCCTCTATAACCTATTATGGTTTTTACCAAACAATTGTTTTCGGGAATATCATTATCCCTCTATAACCTATTATGGTTTTTACCAAACAATTGTTTTCGGCAATATCATTATCCCTCTATAACCTATTATGGTTTTTATCAAACAATTGTTTTCGGGAATATCATTATCCCTCTCTAACCTATTATGGTTTTTACCAAACAATTGTTTTCGGGAATATCATTATCCCTCTATAACCTATTATGGTTTTTACCAAACAATTGTTTTCGGGAATATCATTATCCCTCTATAACCTATTATGGTTTTTACCAAACAATTGTTTTCGGGAATATCATTATCCCTCTATAACCTATTATGGTTTTTACCAAACAATTGTTTTCGGGAATATCATTATCCCTCTATAACCTATTATGGTTTTTACCAAACAATTGTTTTCGGGAATATCATTATCCCTCTATAACCTATTATGGTTTTTACCAAACAATTGTTTTCGGGAATATCATTATCCCTCTATAACCTATTATGGTTTTTACCAAACAATTGTTTTCGGGAATATCATTATCCCTCTATAACCTATTATGGTTTTTACCAAACAATTGTTTTCGGGAATATCATTATCCCTCTATAACCTATTATGGTTTTTACCAAACAATTGTTTTCGGGAATATCATTATCCCTCTATAACCTATTATGGTTTTTACCAAACAATTGTTTTCGGGAATATCATTATCCCTCTATAACCTATTATGGTTTTTACCAAACAATTGTTTTCGGGAATATCATTATCCCTCTATAACCTATTATGGTTTTTACCAAACAATTGTTTTCGGGAATATCATTATCCCTCTATAACCTATTATGGTTTTTACCAAACAATTGTTTTCGGGAATATCATTATCCCTCTATAACCTATTATGGTTTTTACCAAACAATTGTTTTCGGGAATATCATTATCCCTCTATAACCTATTATGGTTTTTATCAAACAATTGTTTTCGGGAATATCATTATCCCTCTATAACCTATTATGGTTTTTACCAAACAATTGTTTTCGGGAATATCATTATCCCTCTATAACCTATTATGGTTTTTACCAAACAATTGTTTTCGGGAATATCATTATCCCTCTATAACCTATTATGGTTTTTACCAAACAATTGTTTTCGGGAATATCATTATCCCTCTATAACCTATTATGGTTTTTACCAAACAATTGTTTTCGGCAATATCATTATCCCTCTATAACCTATTATGGTTTTTACCAAACAATTGTTTTCGGGAATATCATTATCCCTCTATAACCTATTATGGTTTTTATCAAACAATTGTTTTCGGGAATATCATTATCCCTCTCTAACCTATTATGGTTTTTACCAAACAATTGTTTTCGGGAATATCATTATCCCTCTATAACCTATTATGGTTTTTACCAAACAATTGTTTTCGGGAATATCATTATCCCTCTATAACCTATTATGGTTTTTACCAAACAATTGTTTTCGGGAATATCATTATCCCTCTATAACCTATTATGGTTTTTACCAAACAATTGTTTTCGGGAATATCATTATCCCTCTATAACCTATTATGGTTTTTACCAAACAATTGTTTTCGGCAATATCATTATCCCTCTATAACCTATTATGGTTTTTACCAAACAATTGTTTTCGGGAATATCATTATCCCTCTATAACCTATTATGGTTTTTATCAAACAATTGTTTTCGGGAATATCATTATCCCTCTCTAACCTATTATGGTTTTTACCAAACAATTGTTTTCGGGAATATCATTATCCCTCTATAACCTATTATGGTTTTTACCAAACAATTGTTTTCGGGAATATCATTATCCCTGGACTCTAGAGTCTCTTCTGACACTTGAAAATCAAAAAATTTATTTTATTAACGAAATATTATTATATGGGATTCTAGAGTCTCTTCTAACAATTGAAAACAAAAAATTTATTTCATTAATGAAATATTATCATATGGGACTCTAGAGTCTCTTCTGACACTTGAAAATCAAAAAATTTATTTCATTACAGAAATATTATCATATGGGACTCTAGAGTCTCTTCTGACACTTGAAAATCAAAAAATTTATTTTATTAACGAAATATTATCATATGGGATTATAGAGTCTCTTCTAACACTTGAAAATCAAAAAATTTATTTCATTACCGAAAATATTATCATATGGGACTCTAGAGTCTCTTCTGACACTTGAAAATCAAAAAATTTATTTCATTAAAGAAATATTATCATATGGGACTAGAGTCTCTTCAGACACTTGAAAATCAAAAAATTTATTTCATTACCGAAATATTATCATATGGGACTCTAGAGTCTCTTCTGACACTTGAAAATCAAAAAATTTATTTCATTACCGAAATATTATCATATGGGACTCTAGAGTCTCTTCTGACACTTGAAAATCAAAAAATTTATTTCATTAACGAAATATTATCATATGGGACTAGAGTCTCTTCAGACACTTGAAAATCAAAAAATTTATTTCATTACCGAAATATTATCATATGGGACTCTAGAGTCTCTTCTGACACTTGAAAATCAAAAAATTTATTTCATTACCGAAATATTATCATATGGGACTCTAGAGTCTCTTCTGACACTTGAAAATCAAAAAATTTATTTCATTAACGAAATATTATCATATGGGACTCTAGAGTCTCTTCTGACACTTGAAAATCAAAAAATTTATTTTATTAACGAAATATTATCATATGGGACTCTAGAGTCTCTTCTGACATTTGAAAATCAAAAAATTTATTTCATTACCGAAAATATTATCATATGGGACTCTAGAGTCTTTTCTGACACTTGAAAATCAAAAAATTTATTTTATTAACGAAATATTATCATATGGGATTCTAGAGTCTCTTCTGACACTTGAAAATCAAAAAATTTATTTCATTACCGAAATATTATCATATGGGATTCTAGAGTCTCTTCTGACACTTGAAAATCAAAAAATTTATTTCATTACCGAAATATTATCATATGAGTCCAGCGCTTTTTCACCAATTCTTCGTTATACTAGCCTGAAGAAACGAGTATTTTTTTGAGTCTATAAAGAAATTTGAGTCTATAAAGCTAATTTAGGCTGAGTTATAGTATAATTCAGATTGGTCCCATTTGATGGTCGAATTATATATCGATGGAACATTTCTGATTTGTCCAGCGCTTTTTCACCAATTCTTCGTTATACTAGCCTGAAGAAACGAGTATGTTCTGCCTGTCTTTTATTGTCTCCTTCCAAATAAGACTGAAGATCCCTACAGGTTTTTCTTTTATTTTTCCGAGTAATCCTAAAAAACATAGGACATTCTCACTCATCAGAAGAATTTGGCCCAATCTCAATCCGAATCCGATATCAGTGGACTTTGAATTAGCTGTACACAATGCTATTAGGGTTGTCTTTCCTAAATCATTAGGGGCTGTTTCTTTCACCTTTTTCAAAATCTTTATAATACCAATCCAGAGTTTTTTATTCATGCTAAAATGATAGTTTCACTTGCTTTTGTACCACAACAAGACCTTCTCGAAGCACTTACTATATTAGAAAATTATTTTCCAAATGAACTTGAACCCATTTTGTCATATTTTATCAATACATATGTGGTTCGACTTAGAAACAATGGTACTCGTGCCCCTCCAACTACTTTCCGAGCAGATGGAATGTCTACACAAGAACGATTAATAACGAGGATCGCACCAATAATTTTTGTGAAGCGTTTCATCGAAAAGTTCAATTGCAACTCGACGTGTCACATCCGACTATATGGAAATTTTTGGATGAATTACAAAAAGTAAATACACTCATTTTTTGTTTTAGTGCCTTTATTTAATTATATAAGGTTGTGAAATTATCTGATGGGCAGTATGAACGTTTTGTTGCTGGACATGCTGCTACAAAATAAAGGCGAAAATATGAAGAGGCAGATATTTTAAACATTGTCAATCGTTATGAAATTGGAATCGTTATTGAATATTTAAGAGGGATCTACATAATTTTAATATTGTTTAAATCTCAATTTTTCTTTTCTTTGATATTTAGTCACATTTTTCGATTCATTGTCACAAAACTATAACTTATTATTTTTGTTATTCTGGTCGTTTAAATATTTTGTTTTGAATATTGTTAATTTGTTGTTATATCTACATATTAAAATTTGAACTGTTTTTTTGCTAATTGATTATAATCAGAAAAATTAATTAAAAAGCTTGGCGACTATTCGACTGGCGACTATATGGCCTCGCGAGTCGCGACTATTCGGCCCGCGAGCATTCGGGCTGTACCCCGACCTTTCTCCTATTTTTCGTTCTAGCATTTTATTTCTTTTAATTTTCAACTAGTTTAGGATGCCATCTAAACACGAAAAAAATCGTAAGAGAGATTTAGATACTGATACCTCCATTGAAGAAGACAGAGAAGAAAGTCGTCGACATCGTCGTTCAAGATCGCGTTCACCCAAAAAGTTTTTTCTTATTTTTTAAAATTTATTTTTTCAAATTTTCAGGTCGAAGAGACGTAAGGAAGACGATTCCTCTCCGTCAAAAAAGTTTCTTTTTGAATTTTAAAAAATTTTTAAAAAATTTTATTTTAGTGAAGAGTCAATGTCAATTGAAGAAACAAACAAATTGAGGGCTAAACTTGGACTAGCACCTTTGGATTTGGATGATAAAACAAACACGGAACCCGTGGAGAAGGAGGATGGAAGTGGGGAAAAGGTTGTTTTTTTGATTAGTTTTTTGGGAGGGTTCGGGTAGCTGATCAGCTTCCAGTTTTGCGGACTAATTTTTGCGGACTTTCCTCTTCCTTTTTTGGTTTGATTTTTATCAAGATTAATATTTGGTTATAGGTAAATTGTAAAAATGACTACACAAATTAACTCGTCACGTAATTACTTTTGAGTAATTATCTGAGAAAACGATTATGAGTTTTAAAGAGGAAAAAAGTCCGCAAAAATTTGTCCGCAAAACAGCGTAAAAACTGGCTTACATTTAGTGGGTTCTCAGTTTTTACATGGACCTCAACTTTTTCTTTTTTTCCTGTTTATTAATAATGAAATTATTCTTTTAATTGCCCCTATCTTTTTTTAAATCTTCCCTCATCAATTCATCAACTAGCTAGGAAAATTTTAATGGAACGAAAATGTTGGATTTCATATTTTTTGGTCACGTCTCTGTCAACAGGCCATAAATCCGTTGATTATCCTTTATTTTCGAACGGGTTCAATTTTCTTTTCGAATATTTTTTAATTTTTTCTAGTCGATTTGCCCCATTTTAAAATTTAAAAATCCAAAAATTTCAAGGTATTTACCGAAGACGGCGTAGAAATAGTGCACAAACCCTCACGAAATTGGTCAGAAGAAAAACGTCAAAAAGAGCTCAAAGAAAAATTGGAAAACAAAAAGCGTCAAAGGGATTTACATTCAAAAGTGTTAAAATCAAAGAATTTGGCTGAGGAAGAAGACGAAGAAATTGAAAACACAAAAAAATGGATTGAAAGATCGAGAAGGATTGAGGAAGAAATGAAAAAAGCTAAAGAAAAGGAAAAAGAATTGGAAGAGATGGATGAGTCTTTTGGAATTGGGGCTTTGCTTAAAGAGGAACAATTGAAAAAACTGAAGAAAAAAAGAGGAGGAAATGTGGAGGTTTGTTTGAGAGATTTTGTCAAATTTTGGAATTAAGTAAGGGTTCTCGGAGTCTAGTAATTGATATATCGATTAAATTGAATTTAGTCTGTGACATCTTTCTCATATAGGGCGGGTAATGTTCCACCTTGTGGTAGTTAGAGTAGGTGGGCCGGAATTACTATTTCCGACGTTTTTTCCGATTTTCGAAAAAAATTTTGATTTTTTATTACCGAGTTCCGACTTTTAAGCCAGTTCCGATTTCCGGCTCTTCCGATTTTCGACACCTTTGGCCGTTTCGACCCACATCTGGTAGTATTAGTTTCTCACTTTTCCCAAATTTTCTGTTTTTTTCTAGGGCTAGTTTTGATTTACTCGAGGAAAAGTAGGAAATTGACTTTAGAATAGTCCTTTTTGAAATCAATCCATAACATTTTTTTTTGTTTTATAAGCAAAAATTTTTAAAATTTTAGACGGAACCCTCTTCTGGTGGATTAATTGTTGGGCATTCTGTTCAAGACTTTCAAGAAGGAAGAGAAACAATTTTAGTTTTGCAGGACAAAAGTATTTTTTTATTTTTAAAAATTCTTTCAAAAAATTTTTCTTCAAAGGTTTACTTCTCGACGGGGAAGACGCCGACGAAGAAATTTTAATAAATCCAAATATGGTAGAAAATGAAAGGACAAAATTAAATGTTGAGAGAAGAAAGAAAAAAGCAACACATTACCAAGCTTATGAAGAAGAACAAATTGATGAATTTGGACAAATTAAAAGGAAAGAAATTTTGGATAAATATAATGAGGGAATGGATGGGGAAAATAAAAAGAAGGAAACTTTTCGATTAGGTTTGTTTGAATAATTTTTTGGTTAGGGGACTATAAGAATGAGGGGGCTCTATGACATTGAATTTTTTGAGCGTGATTTTTGGTTTAGGGGACTTAAAGGGTTAGAGGGGGTTCTACGTCATGCTTTTTTGCTTTCAAAAGCTGCTTAACTGAAGCCCAGAAACCCTATTTATTTTTAGAATCGCCACAAACAGGAATATTGAATCTTTTTTAGGGTTATCAGGGTCGGGGACGGCTTTGCGTGGTTTTTCTTTAAAATGTCTCTTGTTTTATAAGACTATAAGGGTTAGGGGGGTTCTACGCCATACTTTCTTGATTTCGAGACTGATTGATTTAACTCCGGGAACCCCAATTTATTTTTAGAACCATAAGAAACAGGATTGTTTAATCTTTTTGGTATTTTTGGGGTCGGCAGAGCATGGTCCCATTCTTTGCGTGATGGGAGTACCAAGTGGGAATTGAGTCAGTATCATGACTTTTAGGGCTTGGAACAACTGTCACTTTTTAGAAAATTTAGTCTAATTTTTGAGGGCTTGGAACACTCAACTTTTTCAAGTCAGGAAATCCTCGTTTTGACTATTTTAGTTTGTCACGAGGCCTATTCCTGCCACATAACCTTTTTCTTTCGATTTTACCTGTTTATCCTGTTAATTCTGAATCTAAAAAAATTTTTTTAAGACGAGACTGGACATTATGATTTGGATAAAGAAGCTAAGGAAGCAGAAGCTAAACGTAAATTAATGATGGTAAATAAAAAGTTTGAATCTTTGGGAGAGACAAAATATACTTTGGCGAATGAATTTTATACGGAGGTTTTCTTTTAATTTTTTTAAAAAATTTTTGGATAAACCAAGAAGGTCATATGATTTTAAAGGTGAACTCCAAAAAGTTTAAATTACCCATAAGATCAATTCCAGATTTAGGGCCAATAAGTGAGTTTTTGGGAAGATTATGTTTTTGTTTATTAAGGGAAATGCCGATAGATTTGGGCGGATTAAGAGGTCATTTGTTGGGATTGATCGACATAAGATATTCTAGAAATAATTTTGTGTAAATGTTTGATAAGACAGGTGGAGTGGGTGAAATTTGGGCACGCGGACATATCGGGATATTTCAATGTACGAATAGTTACTCTACTGTTTTCGAGACCTATGGCCACTGGGTCTTCGATAGTTATTGGGAATAGAGTTTTTATGTTATAGAACAATCGTAAACACGCAATATTATTGTCACCTCAATCCCGATATGTCCGCACACCGTAATTTGAGTTATTAGGATCATTTGACCTTCTTGGTTGATTCTAATTTTTTTAATTAATTTTTTTATAAAAATTAAAGGAAGAAGTTATCCAATTCCGTCGTCTCAAGAAGAAAAAAACGTCAAAAAATTCCCGTAAAAAAGCATTAAAAACAGCAGAATTGAAACCTTTGGAAGAAACTGAAGAAGAGAAAAAAATTCGAGAAGAAAAATTGGCTGCTAGGAGGAGGGAACAAGAAGGGGAAGAGGGAGGAGGAAAATCTTTTCGAGATACAATGAAGGAATCTAATGGTTCTTCAAAAGTTGTTCGTTCTGTTGTGATGGAAGAGGGTGAAATTGTTGAAAGTAAAAAAGAGGTTTTCTTTTCTTAATAAAATTAATTTATGGTCCTTAGCATGGATGGGTCAGGTTTTGGATTGAGTTTTCAAACTTGCATTTGGGCAAGGGCGTCCCTCCTAAATTTTTTTATTTTTTCCATTTCAGGGAGGGGGCTATAACCCTACAAGTCACCCTTCCCCGGCTACGCCCTTGTCTTAGGTTCGGGAATAGCCCGAATTCAGGGAAACCTGGCTCATCCATAGTCCTTAGGATAAATACAATTTTAGATTTTTTGCAAATCTCGCCCATTAGAGATCGGTCTGGCATTGATTCTAAAATTTAAACCTTGATTTTTCATGGACCATAATTTCCCAGTGATTGTTTTCACTGAATTCATAGTCATCATCAAATCATTTTTTGGGGTTTCTTGAGTTTGATTGGCCCGTGATAAAAATTTTGGTTAAGGTCATCATTTGAAACAGGGTCACAATTGTTTTCAAAATTCTTTCATCTAGTCCCAAAGACAATTTTAGTTATTTTTTATAACCCTATAAAAAAATTTTTTTCAGATAAAACAATCAAAAGATTCCATGGCCATGCCTCCCCCAGATCAGACAAAATGGAAAAAACCGAAAGTTAATGTTGATGTTAAAATGTTGGATATATTAGCAGAAAAGATTAAAAGAAGAGAAGAGGAGGAGGACGATGAAGAAGGTTTTTTATTTATTGTTAGGGATTGGACTTTTAATTTAGGGATTGGGCTTTTTAATTTTAGACTTTTTGGGTTTCTGATTTCTTTTGTGTAAATCTAAAAAATAAAGAAACCCAACTTTTTCCCGGTCTGTCTTTGTTCTCTTAATCTCCCTTAGCTGATCCAAAACCGGGACTTTTGAAGACCGGACTTTTTTCTCAACCTATGACATCCCTGGTCCAATCCCTAACAAGGGAACATCTTTTACTGTCAGTGCGAATTCGATAATCTTTTTGATACCATTCGATAAAGGACCCTCCACTTACTATTGTGGAGTGATCCGTTTTTTTTTGCAAAATGACTTTGGGCCGAGTTATGGCCGTTCAAAGTTTCAGTCTTGGGTGTGGTTGAGTAGGAAAAAACGAAGGAAGAATATTGTTAGACACAATAAATAAGAAGGAGATGGACGTGTGGGTTTTTTGAGGTAGTAAGTCGAGGGTCCTCTATCGAATGGTACCAAAAAATATATCAAACTCGCACTGACAGTAAACGTTGTTCCCTTTTAAGTATACCTCCTTGAATTAAAAAAAATTTTTTTATTCAGAATTTCTTCCTACCAATGTCGCCCCAATACAAATTGAAGATGATGATGCTAGTGAAGAATTAAATGCAATTTTGGCCAAAGCTCGTTTACTAAAAAATTCTGAAAAAATGGTTAAAAAAGAGGTTACATATTTTGCTTCAGACAGCAGCGATGATGAAGATATGGAAGAACAGAAAAATTCGAATGCAATAATTTTTGACGCCACCTCAGAAAAATACAAAGCTATAGGGGGTGGAGGTTATGGAAATGATCAACAAATGAATAAAAAAATTGTAAAAACTGAAATTGAGGAAGAAATGGATATGGGGAGTGAAATACCTTCGAGTAGTTCGAAAAAAGAATTTTTAAAGAGGAGAAGAACTGATAGTGGGTCTAGTCAAGAATTTGAAAGAATGGATGAGGAAAGAGATGGGGAAAGATCTGAGAGTGATGAGGGTATTTTTTAATTAATTTAGTGTTCAAGGGGGTAGTAGGAGATCCAATAATGGGTACTAGTTAGGTATTTAGAACATGTTACTTTTTGAAAGTTGCCCGACGCCCCGTGGGTCTGGGACCTTTCCTTACCCTATTACTTGAAATTTCCGAAGGTTATAGCCAATTTTTAAAAATTTCAGATAAACGATTTTAACTTTCAGAAACTTCGAGAGATAGAGTAAGAAACGGTCCCAGATCCAGTGGGCAAAGGTCTCGAACATGAAGAAATGTTTTGGAACCATACCTCAACTTCGCAACACCAAGAAAAATCGAATTTTCTTTTGATTGGACGCATAAACTAGACCAGCGCCCCGAATTTTTGGGGGAATTTGGGTAAGAGGGCGGGGGAGTTCTCATTTCCCTTTTTATTTTAGGCCTGGATGTTCAATTATAGAAACTATAGCAGTTCTATTCTGTCTCTGAGAGAATCGATTCTCTCGGACTCGCCAAATTTTTAGAATAATTAGGAACATGAATAATACAACAGTTTTATACTCAGCTCTAGTTTAACTAGAAATTGGAAATTTCCTCGGAATTCCTCACCGACATTCTCTGAAAAAATTTTTAGGAACCTTAGGTTTTTCTTAATTATTATTTTTCTAAAAATTTTTTTCAATTTTTAGAAAAATATTCAGCAACCAAAAATTATTCAAATATTTTGGGAGAAGAAAAGGATGTTACTAAAGGTGTAGCAGCAATGTTGAAACTTGCTGGACAAAAGGGATATTTAGAATCTGTAAACAAAAAACGTCATGGAGAAGGGTCTTTAAAACATTTGGAAAGTAAAAGATACTCAAAAGTCGAGCAAGGACGTTATGACATTGAAGACAAAACTATGAGAAAATTGGAAAGGATGGGGACAACGGGGACTGGTCCAACTAGACCATTTCCTGAGAAGACTGATTACACGCCTAAGGTGTTTTTTTTGAAAATTTTCGAAAAAAAAGAATTGGATTAAATCGATTCCCTCGGACCCGACAAATTTCTAGAATAATTAAAACATTAAAAGAGGGGGGGGGTGGGGTTCCCAACCCTTATTTCTGAATTTTTTTGGGGAGTTGAAAAACATAAAATGAATCAAAAGAAGCATTCCTTACCCTCCAATTTTTATTTTTCAAACATTTAACTGAGAGAGGGATTGGGGTACTAGGGTAATTAGTTTTCCTTTTGTGAATATTCTAAATGGGATAAGAGGTGAATAGGAAATGACCAAGTTGCCGGAAACCGTAAATGACTCAAAAGTCGGAAATCAGCCTAAAATTTCGGAAATCGGAGGAGGGGGGACGTCGGGAATCGAAATTCCGATTCACCCCTGATGGGGATAAACTAAAATTAGAAGAAAACAGAAAATTTGAAAATTTTTTCTTAATGTTAGCTGAATAGAGGCTGGGTAGATTTAATGATCCTGGGATCTTTCAAAAAATTTTTTACGAAATTTTGAATTTTTCTTTTTAATTTTTCCCCATTTTTTAGATTGAAATAAATTATTCTGACAAATCTGGACGTGTTTTAGAGCCTAAAGAAGCATTCCGTGTATTATCTTGGAAATTCCACGGAAAAGGTCCTGGAAAGAAACAAGGGGAAAAACATAAAATGAAAGTGGACAAGAGGGAGAAATTGAAGAAAATGAATTCTCAAGACACTCCTTTGGGTATAAATATTTTTATTAAATCCTCGCTATAGGGAACACCTTTGGGTATTTTGTCAGCCTGTATTTTTATTATAAAATTTTTTAAACTTTTTCACATATTTTTCAACTTCCAGGTACACTCAACAAACAATTGAAAAAACAAGAACAACTTTCTTCTGCCTATCTTTTATTAAGTGGAAGGGGAGATGCTGCTCCCCTCCAAAAAGAATAATAATTATAAAATAAAATTGTTTGGATGACTAAATAATTTTTCTTACATACATATTTGTATTGAAGTTGTTTAAAATAAAATTTATTTCGATACTATAATTGGAAAGTTATTAAAATATTTATAAATTCCAAAGGATT